AAGATGAGTCTTCCTGACTTCAGGCCAGGTGCTCTACCAACTGCATCACCTAGCTGCCCCCTGATTATAACAACAATGCTAATAATTATAGATTATAAAATAATTGTTGAATTACGAAAAACTATTCCATTTTACATATGTGGTATGAAACTTTGCTTCCCAGCTCTCCTTACCCCCACATTCCTGTACCAGACCTCTCTTATTCTAGTAGGTTCTATCTCATCCTTCATTTTCTATGCAACTAAAGTATCTCATCCCTTTCCTAACCCCTTTTCCTTCCTATCCCCCAGATATGATCAGATTTCTTTGATCTACAAGGTGACAGAATCTCTAGGAGACCAAAGCCAGACCTAAATCCCCTCTGATCCCCAGGATTCCAGAAAGATCAGAACAGTTCTTGTTTTACTACTAGTTTGAGTTGTTTGGTTGACCTGAGTAGGGACTATAACAAATCCCAAGTCCAAGGATCTCTCAGGCCTCGGGTGGCTTACCAGAGCCTACCTAACCAGTGGTGTGTGGGAGCCATTGTTATATTTTCAGCTTGAACATTTATGCCTTGGAAATTAGCAAATGCTATAAATTGGGGCTTGATTTATTGGTTTGTTGTCTAGACTTATGAAAATGATGGAGAAAATGTTAATAATGTAGGTTATACTTAAAAGTACAATGTACATTTTTTTTCAGAGCTGGTTGTTAAACATTTACCAGCACACCTCTGGACCTCAGCCTACCCCTATTGGAGATATTCTAAGGAACCTCTGGCTTTCCAAAGCCCAGATCTACCCTGGAGTCAGGGAAATGGCTACTCCTCAATCTAAGATCAATTCTACATTAGATTACCTGGTCCCAATATTGAGCACACAGAGAATCTATTCTGTAATGGAAGACACTCTATCCCAATGCCTTCCAATCAGTGGTATGGCAGTAGTTGACTTAGTTAAGCCTCTGACAGGCTAAGGATCCAGGAACAGGATGCAAATGGCCTAGCACACTCTTTGCAACTCCTTCCACGAAACCTTTATGTACTCTACCGGGATTCTCCAAAAATTCATAAAAATGGGTCACCAAAGAAGCCTCTCTGAATTTTTCTACTCACTACTCATGAGAAAGGGACCCTTCAACAGCTGATTGTATATCAAACAGAGCTCTTAACAGCTCCACATGCCCAAGATTTAGGCTTACCTAGAAAGCAAGCAATCAAAAATCATTAATAAGTGCTGACTAGGTTCTCGGCACTGTACTAGGCAATGGAGGTACAAAGACAAAAATAAAACAGTCCTTGCCCTCAAGGATCTTATAGTCTCCTGAGGAAGATGACATGCACATAAGTATGTGGTAATGGACCCTATAATCTGTATTACTGGAGAGACTGAAGTTGATGCATCTCTTGAGCCTGACATTTCTAAGCTATGGTAGGCTGAGCCATTGGGTGTCTACACTAAGTTATCAGCATTAATATGCTGAGCTCCAGGAGGGGACCGAGGTATTATAATGCCTAAAGAGCAGCAAACTGGCCCAGATCTGAAGTGAAATTACAGTCATCCCTTCCACATCTTTGGGGTTTGGGGCACAGTGCCCTGAGATTTGGAAAGGCTGTGTAAAAATTTTTGGCTTTCCCTTCATACTAGAGATGAAGAATGCATTATTATGGTATTAAAATATAAAATATGTGGATATTATACAATACTATCCACATATTTTACGTATTTCTGGGTTTCTAAACTTTTTCTGTGTCATCTACTGGCCTTTGCGTGTCATCTGAGTCTTCCAAAAAACTCTGCCAAAAAATTCCCATTTCATTTCTTATGCTGATGCGTGATGTATTGAAACCTCAATGGGGCAAGTCACAGTGTGGAAGAGATAATCGTAATCAGAATTCTCATGTTAATTGGAATGGGACTAGGCATGTGAACAGCCCCTACACTTCCACTCTGGGTGAGATAGGAAGACTTAGGCATTAAAAAAAATTATATGCAAGATATATGCATATATATATATAATAAAAAGAAGATAAAATTTACAGGATAAAGGCATTAGGAGCAGGGTGGGTATCAGGAAAGGCTTTAAGTGACAATGTTCCTTAAACAGTCTTTTGAAGGAAGCAAGAGATTCTAAGAGGTAGAGGTGATATAGGAGTGTGTTTCAGGCATGAAGGACAGCTCAGGAGATGGGAAATGAAGTGTCAAATGTGGGAAACAGAAAATTTGGCTGGACTGTAACCTGTGGGATTGAATACTAGGGCTGGAAAGTTAAATTGGGGACACGTTATTACGGGCTTCCAGACTAAACAAAGGAGTTTATATTTTATCTTAGAGGCAATAGGAAGCTACTAGAATTTACTGAGTAGGATAGTGACATGGCCAGTCTTCCATTTGGGGAATATCACTGTGGCAGTTGTGTAGAAGATAGAATGAAGAGGGAAGAGAGGAGACAGGAGCAATAATTAGGAGGCTATTGCAATAGTCCAAGCAAGAGGTGATGGGAGCCTAGCATCTCGGCCCTGGGAATAGAGATGAACAGAAGTGATATTGTGCAGATAGAAATGACAAGATTTGGCAACTAATTAGAAGCATACGGTGAGGGAAAATGAGGTGGCAAGATAATGCCAAGGCAATAGAGTCAGTTAGTCAAGCATTTATTAAGCACTCACAGGGCTAAGCACTGAAGGAAGCAATACAGATACAAAGAAAGACAAACTAGCTTCTGCTCTCAAGGAACTTACATTCGAATGGAGACACCAGGTACATACATAGGTAAATGCAAGATACACACAGAGTAAATGGAAAAGGGAACCTTAGAAGCAAAGGCTCCAGCATCTGTGGGGACCAGGAAAGAACACCTATTAAAGTGGTGCTTGAGCTGCATCTTGAAGGAAGCCAGGGATTCTGAGAGGCCAATATAAGGAGAAAGCATTCGAGGCTTGGAGAACAGTCAGTCCAAAGGTACAGAGACCAAAGATGAACTATTAGGTGTGAGAAAGAGTAAATGGGACAGCATAGTTGAGTTGTAAAGTGTGTAGAGGGGCATAGAGTGTAAGAAGAATGGAAAGCTGAGGAGGGGTCAGATTGTGGAGAACTTTAAATGCCGAAGGACCATATAGTTGATCTGGAGGTAATAGGAAGCCAGGGGAGTTTACTGAGCAGTGGAGTGACATTGTCATGCCTAAACCTTCGGAAAATCACCTTAGCAGCTGTAGAAACAATGAACTGGAGTGGGAAGATACATGAGACAGCTTGACCAATTAGATGACTATTGCAACAGTCCAGGGGAGAGATAATAAATTAGGCTGGTAGTAATAGAAATAGAGAGAAGGGGAACATTCAAAATATTTGGTAAACCTGAATGACCAGAAGGTTGGTGGTATCTTCAACACAATCAGATAACTTTGGAAAAGGGTTGATTTTGAAGAGAAAGAAAATGAGTTGTTTTGGACATATTAATTTTGAGATTCTCTATTTAGCCATTTTGCTTACCTGATTTTTATGGGACAGTAATATGGTGGGCAATAGAGGTGGGAAAGTGAATGGTATTTATAAATGATTTATTAATAAATTTATATCTTTTAGATTTACAAATAATAAAGTGCTTTGCAAACCTTAAAACGTCTATGTAAATATCAGCTATAATTTCTAATAGTCTCAGCAATACAACTCAAATGCCTCAGCAATACAACTCAAATGCCTCCTCCAAACAGCCTTCCTCTTGTGCTATGATGCCTTCTTGGGTAATGATACCCACTCTCTGTCTTCACACAGCACTTTATGTGTTAACTCCCTAATAAATATGAGCTCTAATATTGTGTGTTCAAGTTATCTGCTTTTGTCTTATCCCCTACTAGACTGTTAGACTCCTTACCTATCTCCCCAGTGTCTGTTGATCTTTGTTGTCTTGTAGATCTTTGTTGGCTGATTATTCAACTTTGTGGTACCCTGAGCATGTAAGTCCCATAATAAATAAAAATAAAGCCCCCAGAGAGCAATACTCAGATAGCTCTGGGTTGTTTTGACCCACACCAGTATTTTCAGCCTCCCTAACAAGGAAAGTCCCAGAAAGTAGGAACTGAAGCCCCCTCCAACACTGTAACTTTCCACTCCCCTCAAAAGATGCCCATGACCTCTCAGGAACTCAGCTGTGTGTATTCCTGTGGACTCATCAGCCAGACTGTATCTCATCCAGGGAGGATCAAGAGAAGGAAAGTAAAAAACCCCAAGAAAGGCCCCTGCTCGCCTCCCAGATGGCGACACAAATGGAACTGTCTGCTTGTGGCCCAAAGAGCAAGTAGCCTGAGATCCACAGCAGCAAGATTTAGGGACAGAAGGCCTGGGCTAAAAAAAAAAAAAAAAATGCTAGAGGCTCTTATACATCTTGTTCCCCATGGCAGCACCTTTCCTGGTCTCCTGTCTCTATCAGGGTCCCTGCTCCCAACTCAGATCTTGCTTAAAGAAATCGGAACCCCAGCCCTGTGCTGTCTAGTTCTAACTAGCCTTCTGCCTGAGCATCAGCGCCGCAAACCCACAGCATCCACTGATACCCGGGAAAGCAAAGTCTTACCAACATCCCATATCACAGCAACAGCCATCCAGAGAGAGAGACAGAGACAGAGACACAGACACAGACACAGACACAGACAGAGAGAGAGAGAGAGAGAGAGAGAGAGAGAGAGCCACACACGAGATGAGCTGCTCCTAGTGCAAACCCCAAATAAGAAGACAACACGCAAAGATCCACACATCCTCAATGAGCTGCTGAGTCAGAAGTCCCTGCACCGAGGACGGGCACCCAACGGACCCCGCTACTGGGGCAGGGGTTAGAGGCAGAAGCTGCACACAGGGGACAAGACCGGACAGCTCAAGATCACTCGAATCCGGAGCCTGAGCGGGCACAAGTCCCACGCGGACTCCTTGAGCTCCCGCGGACTGCGCAAACTTTCCGGGCAGGGAGCTGAGGTCTCCCAAACCCGGGTTAGCCTCGGAATCCGCGGCCGGTCTGGTGTCACTTACCCTGGACTCTGCCCACCAGCGCCCCCAGCGCCAGCAGAGCCAAGCAGAGCTCCCGCAGTCCCATTCTTGTCTCTCCTACCCGGGCTCTGCTCCACGATCCCCTACTGTTGGGTGCAAAGCGCAGGACGCCCCGCAGTCTTTTTTCCCGCCCCCTACGGTTTCCAGGAGGGTGGGGACGGATGGAGGGGGTGGGCGGGGGGAGGAGTCTACTTTAGACCCCTGCTGGAAAAGGGGAGGGATTTTTTGGAGGGTGGGGGACGGAAAGGGGCTTGTTCTTATCACCGTGGGGCTGCGGTCAACTCTCCTTAGTCCGTCTAATCCAATCTCATTTTAGAGAGGAGGAAACCGAAGCTCAGAGAAAGGAAATACTTTCTTCTGGTCCCGTTTCACCTCCCATCCCTTTCCTCCGTCTCCTAGTCCCCGAAGGAGTACCAGCTCAGCACACCCGGGAAAGAGCATGAAGAGTGGGGCGGGAAGGGGTAGGAAGCCGAGCTGGAATTGCCCCAGCCAAAGGGGAGCAGAGAATTGAGACCGTTAGTCAATTCAATTTCAGAAATGTTTAACCTCCAACTGTCTGAAGGGAATTATAAAGGCCTGGAGGAAGATGCCAAGATAAAATATGATACAACTCTTGCCCTCCCCTCACCCGCACCCCAATACAGCTTATAATAATAAGCCACCCAAGAATCTTATAATAATAATAAAAGACATTTATAAATCCTTGCTGGTTCACAAGCTATTTAGGTTCATTATTCTTTGTTCCTTTGCCACAGAAACCTTCAGGGACTAATAGAGACTTCATCGTGCTCTTGTATTTGTAGTTAGGACAAGATAGCTTGGTACTGAACTGTTCCGTGCTCGACGCATGCTAATTAGGTTTGTCCCCTCAGCTAGACTATAAACTCCTGGAGGGCAATTACCTGGTTAAACATTGTCCCAAAATGCCTAAGTGCCGTTCAGGTAGCAAACCGTATATAAATATTTGTTGATTGACTGATTGGGCCTTAGTGAGTGTTCACTACCTCTTACTGGGTTTATTCTCTTTATTCCTAGAAAAATATCAGAGCTGAAAGGGACCTCGAAGGTCCTCTAGTCCAACCATCTCATTGTCTTGTTTGTGAAACTAAGGCCAGAAACAGGAACTTATTATTATCTTATTATCAAGAAGCAAGTCATTCCCTTGAGACTGAAAAGTCAAAGTTAGTTGCAAAGCCCCGTCTAGAATCTCCAGGTGAGTCTCAACACCACAAAGCCTTGGGGGCAGGAGGGAGAGCAGAGGGCCCTACCAAAGGCACTAAGAGCAGAGCTGTCTCTAAGCACATCAAGGTGAGCGCTCTGGGTCCTACAACAGAAAGACACAGGGAGCTAAGTGCCTTAGGGGGGAGGAAAGAGAATAAGCATTTATGAAGCATCTCCTATGTGCTAAGCCCTTGACAAATGTTATATCATTTGATCCTCTCAGCAACCCTGGGAGGTAGATGTTATTATTGTCCCCATTTTACCACTGAGACAACTGAGACAGAAAAAGGTTAAGTGACTTGCCCAGGATCACACAGCTAAGAGTAAGTGTCTGAAGCTGGATGTGAGTCTTCGTGACTCCAGGCCTAAAGTGGCCTAGTTGGTACCAGTCGGACTAGGGGGAGGATGTTTCTTTGCATACTGGTGGCAAAATGGGGGTCATGTTCAATTCCATAATAAATTTTATGAAATCTCTTCCTTGAGAAGAGGAAGAATTGGTTTCTTGGTGGCTAAAAATGGAAGTAGGATATGGAAAGTATGAAAATAGACCCCTTGATTAGTTGAAAGTGAAATTGGGATTGTAAATGGAACAGTAATTTCAATTCAGAGGAACCAAGTAGGCTGATCCCAAATGGTGGTGAGGGGAGATTCTGAGCAGAAAGTTGCTATTTTCATTTTGGAGGTAGAAAGGTGGAGCTTGCTAGTTCACAGCATGAACTTTTAGATTTGAGAATAAAGGGTTACCTTAAACCCAGGGAACTTAAACTATATAGTAATTTAGCCAAAGTGGAAGCTACTCATTCAATGGAGAGTAGTTTAGTTCAGCACACTCTTTTTCTTCCTTTGACCTGGGATAATAGTCCCTAAACTTCTAGGTCACAGAGTTTTCTTGGGACTATTATCCCAGGTCAAAGTTAGGGATGAATAAATTACCTCTACTACTCCAAAGAGATCAAAGAAAAAGGAAAAGGACCCATATGTACAAAAGTATTTATAGTAGCTTTTTTTGTGGTGGCACTGAAACTGGAAATTAAGATTTTAATTACTCATCAATTAGGGAATGGCTAAACAAATTACACATAATTGTAATGGGGTAAAAATCGTGCTAGAAGAAATGATGACAGGGATGGCCTCAGAGAAACCTGGGAAGATTTGTATGAACTGGGTCACAGTGAAGTGCCAGAAGAGAAATTTCTGCAATAATGACCTTGTACACATGAACAGCTTTGAAGAGCTTAAGAATTCTAATCAACAGAACAATCAACCATGGTTTGAGCCAGAGGACCAAAAATTAAGAATACTTCCCAATACCTGACAAAGAAGTGATGGACCAAAATGTACAATGAAATAGATAGATAGATAGATAGATAGATAGATACAAATAGATCAACATAGATATAGAAATATAGATTTTTTTGGAGGTGACCAACAAGAAAATATGTTTTGCTGGATTATGTATATTTGTTACAAAGGACTTGTTATTCTTTTTTTCTTAATGAAAGGATGGGAAGTAAGAGGGAGAGAAAATAAATGCTTATTAATTAAAAATAAATTTTAATTTTTAAAAATATTTTAAGAGATGAATAAGGCTTAAAAATTAGTGAACATAAAATTTGGGCCAAGAATGGGGGAAAAGTTAGAATTCTCCTGAATTAGTTGAGAATGAGTTCAGGCCCCAAGAGGATCAGCAAGGCCTGGGTCCCAGGGCAGTTTTCATCCTGAGAAGAAGATACTTCTGCTTTATAGCTCCTAAGTCTCAAAGCAACTCAAGAATCTTCCTTCAGCACCAGGGCCTTCTCACTCTGGAATATCCCTAACAGGGATTAAGTGAATTGCCTCACAGCTAGTCTGAGGCCTATCTACTTCACCCCCTACCTGCTTGATCTACCCCTATGGCCCCTGTTAATGAGTTCCTCCCAGGGACACCATTTTGGGAGAATGGGCCCAGAATAGCCATCTTTCACTCTCCTCCATACTTTGCTTCAAACTCTCTGAACTTTACCATCATGTTCCAGTACCTCACCAACTCAGCCTTGTCTTTCACTTCCCTATTATATATATTGTCTTCTTCCATTAGAATGTAAGGTCCTTGAGAGCAAACACTGTCTTTCTTTTCACTTATATTTTATCCTCAGGCTTAATACAATGTCTGGCACATAGTAACCCCTTAATAAATGCTTCTTGCCTGTCTGCCTGCTTTACAACAGACCTAAATCCTAAATCCCTAGAATTAGCTTGGATTGTGTTGTCTGTTGTCTGCCTGGACCCTTTCCTCTTCTGAGTCAGTCAGCCAGTCAACAAATTTCTATTAATCATCTGTTATGTGCCAGGAACTGTGCTAAGTACGAGACATAAACATTATACTTGCAAACACACAGGTCCTTGGATTCAAGAGCAGGGAGAAATTTAATTTTTTTATTTAGTATTTTATTTTTCTCCAATTACATATAAAAACAATGTTCAACATTCATTTTGAAAATTGAATTCCAAATTCTCTCCCTCCCTTCCCACCCCCCCATTGAGAAAGCAAGCAATTTGATATAGGTTATACAGGTGTAGTCATGCAAAACATATTTCCATATTAGTCATGTTGTAAAAGAAAACATAGACCAAAATAAAAACCTGAGAAAAATAAAGAAAAGAAAAAAGTATGCTTCGATCTGTATTCAGACTCCATCAGTTCTTTCTCAGGGGATGTATAGCGTTTTTCATCGTAAGTCCTTCAGAGTTGTCTTGGATCATTGCATTGCTGAGAATAGCTAAGTCATAGCTGATTATCTTACAATATTGCTGGCTCTGGAGGAGAGAGTGAGGCTGGTGACTTTGCACAGACCTCCTTCACTTAAATCCAATTCATTTGCAAGTCAAGACGTCACCTTCCTGATGTCATTGGTCCTCTTTGAGAATGAAGGACAAACAATAATCTGTGAGGAGTAGTAGTTACTCCACTGAGACATATTTGGAAATTTCTCAGATTAAACTACGTGGAAACATAGCAAACCAAAAAAAAAAAAAAAAAGAAAAAAAAGATGATCTTTCTGTATTCGCTCCTGACATCAGATCCTACCCATGTAAACCTAGATGAAGAGGGTACCCTGGGCTATGGGTTACATACTTAGAATGTAAGGTCTTTGTGGGCAGGGACATTTTCATTTTGGATTTGAATCCTTATCCCCTAGTGTGGTACCTTGTACATAGTAAGCATCTAATAAATGCTTGTTGAATGAATGAATGAACAGCAAGTCATTCATTAACGGAAGGCATAGAAGTCTAAAGGGAGAGGAAAAGCTTGCCCAAAGTCCTTCTGGGAGATAGGATGTAGACCCCTAGCACTATTTCCATTATCTCCTCTATCAGACCACACTGCTTCCTCTACTATCTTCCTAAACCCAAACTAATAAGAGTCTTGAGCTCTGAACCATTATCTCCATACCCTGGGGCAGGGGGTCAGGAGAAGGGACAAATGATCTTTCTCTCTCTCCATTTAAAGGGCTAGGATGCAGTTCTTGAAGTGTGGTCCAGGGAACCCTTTCAGGGAATCTGCAAGGTCAAAACTATTTTCATAGTAATACTAAGATGATAAATATTATTCTAATTGCTAATTTTTATTTCTAATTTTTAATATGATAAATATTGATAGATATAACCCACAAAACCAAAAGTTCTTTAGAGAGATCCTCAACAATTTTTAAGAGTGTAAAATACCCCACGACCAAACATTTTGAGAACCACTGGCCTAGAATGTCCTTTGGGGACCCCTTGAAGGAAGGAGGAAAGGTATGCTCTCCTAAACCTAGACATGACAGCAAAATCATAATTAGGAATTACCATG